ATGTATAATCTAAACTTAATCATCTGACTTGAATTGTTAATAATTGTACGTAGTGATAATCGATGCTAACTTATAATTTACTGCAAATTTTTTTATGTCAACTTTACCCTCCGGTTATTCAAATTCTTTCTTGTTCATACGGTCATACTTCATACTAAATCCTTTATTTTTATAGTAATTTAACATTTTTCAATCGCGGATTCAATTATGTTGTCAAACTAGTCTGATCTATTTCATGCAGTTTCACCAACTTAAGTATGTAGTTCCTAGCAATATGCTCTCAAACATTTTGTTATAAATTCATTTCAATGTGTAATTTGTGAAACAGACTTGTCATGAGTTGACTAGCTAGTTATTTAATAGCCTATGCTTTATAAAATAAAAACTAATAGTTGAACAAGTCATGGGCGGAAATGTGGACAAGGAGAGAGTAGGATTTGCTGGACTTCTTTCACAAGTAGAGAGCGAGCAGGAGTTGGTGAGGAAGGGTAAAGACGATATTTCAATTCTTTTGTCCAACAAAAAGTTCTATAGGAAATAAATCCTAAGCTAGTTTTAGAATATTAAGACTTAATGGTATGTCTTATGTATAATGATTTCCATTTATAGAAATCTTTTCATCAATGATGACCAGCCCAATCACTTTTGGAGGTTGATTTTGTTCATGTTTGATCACACACATTCCACTTGTCCGAACTTTCAACACAAACACATCATTATTGATTATTCCAATGTCACATCTCTAAAGTTAGCTTTTGTGGTGATGAAATGCACGATAGGTGTTGTAAAACTATTACTCTGTATTTCCTTTGTCTTACCATTCTTTTCCAATTTTTCGTTATTTGTCTAGTCCAAAGTAATCTCATTTTTCATTTCTCTGATAAAGAATTCGTGATTCACAGTACTTCGTACAATTCTCTTTGTAAAGAATAGGTGTCACAGAACTCTCCATCATACAATTCTCACTTTATTAATTCATGTAAAATAATAAATTGAAAGATTATATTGGGGCGGAGGGAGTATCATGTTAATATTATTAATTAGCATAAATTATTAATCGAACTCTCTCCTATTTAAATATTTACAACAACGATCTTGTTTAATAAGCATTCTTTAAAAATACTTGACTAGTTTGACTATTAAGAAATTATCTTTCATACCATTTCATCACACTCTATTGTTTTTTAACTTTTTCTTCATTATTTATTATTCCTACTATTTTATCATGAAACATAAAAAAATCATGAAACACCGTGAAGAATCAATCATCTTGCATCATAAAGAGTTTATCACATTGGTACCTACAACTTAAATCGTATCATATTTATATAATAAAATCAAACAAATTTAAATTCAAATAACTTTAAATTATATTAACAATCACCAGATGAGAATAATACTATGTACTCGTAGTATATACTACAGAAATAAGTATTTAATACCCCGTGCATTCAACGACACCAAATTAGCGCACAGTGAAATATGAATAATAGTTTTTTCAGGAGAAAATAATTTAAATATCCCAAATTTTGAAGGGATATTATATAAGTACCTCAAACTTTTACATGTAATATATATACCCGAACTTTGTATACAAAGTTAGGTTAGCACCACGATCATATATTTTACTACAGATGTAATTTTATGGTGTTAAGTACATATTTTAAAATATACAAAACATTAATGAGGATGCAATTAAAATTAAATTGTACCGGATGTAATATAATTTATTTCACAAATGAAATTTTAGAATGTTAAATTGTTAACTTTATTCTAGCAAAGCTTAGAGTATTTCAAGTTATACAATTATTCCAATAAATTTGTATTTGTAACAACAACATACAATCATGGTGAGAAATTAACTTTTCATATAAATTTCGGGGTATATATTACATATGTAAATTTGGGATACTTATCTCACACCCCATTATAGTTTGGGGTATTTAAATTAATCCCCCCAATAAAAAACAACTTTTGTGTCCACATATTGACTCAAATGCTATTTTTATGTTAGATTGCCCCCAAGATCTTCTTAGGTTATTATTTATTTGCGTCGACGGAAGTGGACACAGATAAGATTTTTGGGACGAGACAATATTGTCAAAACATTAGCGCCCATTTGCCAATATGATGCAAAAGAAATATTTACGTAAAAGTTTCTTGGATGCAAAAAAAAAAATTTCTTATAGTGATCATTGACGTAGTGTTGGCGTGTGTTTTGGGGGGGAAATCACCACAATATAATAGTTATACAACTATATGTTCCAAATTTAAGAAAACAAATTTAAATTCATTAGAAATAAAAAATGTTGACTATATCTGGAATGATGCAATCTACATAGTTTAAAAATATGAAAATAGGGGATTATATTCTAGCAAATTGTTTGAATATATTACCTAAATTTTAATGATTTTTTCTAAAAAATTTGCATCAAATCAATGATTTTATTTATACATATAATAAATATTTTAATGCTATAATCATATGTAGCTTCACCCATCAATTAATGAGTAAACGTTCTCAGTATACCACTCGTCTTAACTATTAAATACGTAATTTTTTCTTGACTATGATAAATTATGTACGTAATAATCAAAATAAGTAAAGTTATAATTACTTTTTTGACTTAAATAACTAAAATTACCGTAGAGGAGTTATTTTTCCATATAAATTTTAAATTTATTTTATTAATAACAAATATTCTAAATATAGTTTTTCTATAATTTATCAAATTCAACTACTCCATCCAGCATTCAGGTGTGGATGGACTAAGAGAGTAGGGGGGAGGGGGCTGCGGCCCCCAATAAAACTTATTAAAACTGCATATATGATTGTTCCGATCCCTATAAGTCTATAACCAAACCGCCTAGTCCAAAGTTGGTAAATTGGAAAAGAATTCACCACTAACTGATTTGACTATGAGTGCATTTAAATGTTTGATTAATTTGATGTCGGTGCTCAATGCTCTTGGCTACTACACACCTAGTCAATCAAGTATGATGTACCCTAAAATTAAAGAATTGCACCATTTTCCTTTTTTGGTAAAGATTTTGTGTTTAATTCCTACGCATACTTATACATTTTTCTCTATGTTCTGAATAATTTTTCACCACATTATATACACTATCTTAATCCCCGTGTCATTTGTACTATGAAAGAAACATTAGGAACGGAGGGAGCTAGTATTAATTTATTGTAATGGAATTTAGAACTCGTTTAGTAACATTGAAATTGGTTGAATCAGTTGAGGCCCCGTTTGATGACTCTGTCTTTTGGTTTATCGGGCTTTTCAGTCAAACTTTGCACTAACACGTAACTTTTGATTTCGTGCACTGAATTGTGTACTAATAAGAAAAAGTAAGATTGTAGTTATTTTTCTGGCTCAATTGGTTGAAGTTAATGTAGATCACCATTATTTTAGCTATTTTTCATATAATTTTTTCTTTATTTTATTAATAAAATACTTCTTCCATCTCTTATAACTTTGTCATCTTTCCCTTTTTGGATGTTACAAAAACTTTGCCACTTTCGCTTTTAATCAATAATTTTTGGTTCATGTTATTTCTCTCTCCTCTGCACATATCTCAATCACACAGTTTTACTTTATTATTTTCAGTGCCGGTCAAACATGGCAAAATGTTGAGGGACGGAGGGAGTATATTTTAAATATGAGTTTTCATAAATCATCCGAAAAAGCTAATTCAGCTAGAACTTCATAAATTTCAGCAGAATCAGCTGATTTTGGTATTACCAAACAACCTCTGAATCAGCTGAAAGTGCTCAAATTCCGACTGAAGTGACTGAAGTACTGAATTGTGAAAGAATTATATATAAAACATATTTAAATTGATAATACTAAAAAAACTATAAAAAATAGCTAAAATGATCATCTATAATTAGTTGAGTCAATCAGCTAGAAAAGCAACTTCAACTATACTTATTTTGATATTACACCATTCAGCGTGCGAAATCAAAAGTTACGTATTTATTGGAAAAATTTGCAGATAAGACAGATAAGTTGAAAAAAGTAATTTTCAAATGCGCGTAATGCGAGTATTAATGAAATAATGAACTCGTGTCATGTTATTGTAATCCAAAGTTTCAGGCATCATAAAAACTATCGCTGCCCTTAGTCGACGGGATCCAACCTTACTTTTGCTTATTACTACCCAATTAGGCCCGCGAAATCAAAATTTACGTGTTTGGTGAAAAAGTTGGCTAATAAGCCTGATAAGCCGAAAAACAGTGGCTCCAAACAAGCTCTAAATTTCTAAAAAAGTAAAAAGAATTGGGTTGTCATGAAGTAAGAATAGAAAAAAGACCATTGTCTACAACGTTATTCCTAGACACTGTTTACCATAAATATAATAAATAAATAAATAAATAAATAAATAATACAGAGTAGGGGAGAGTTCTTGCGGGAACCCCTCTTAGAATGAGAACTCTTTTTAAAATAAGAACTTCTAATCTTCATCATTCATTTTTACAATCAATGACTAATAATGATAAGGTGACATTTTTGTAATTATTCAGGATTAATTGCAAAAAAGACCCATTTGAATTTAGGGTAATTATGAATGTGACATCATGTGAATCTTAACCAATGATTGCAATAAATGAAAGGTAGAGATTAAAAGTTCTCATTTTAAAAAGTTCTTATTTTAGGAGGAGTTCTCACTAGAACACTCTCCTATAGAGTATAAATTATTCTAATTAAAATGTGAGTATGATAGCTGGAATAAAAATGTTAGTAAGCCATTAGGTTTACTAAATAAATAAAAATGGGGAGGGAGCTTTTTTTGTTTTCTGCTTCAATACTAATTTCCTCAAATGTAACGTACTGTTCATTATATTACCTTCATAATATATAGATTAATCTTAATTTTATTTTCTTACCCGGCCCGTTAAACATTTTACCCGGCCTGCCAAAAGAAATATAATGCCTCCTTGCCTATATATAGTGTCCTGAAACATTCTATAAATAGCACACCATTGAGAGCCATTATTCCACAAGATAATTACTTAAGCACACCAAAACTAACTAGCTCAATGGCTGGAGTTAGTAAGCTAATGCTCAGCCTTCTCATTTTGGCATTTCTTCTTTCGTCTGCCGTTCAACCAACGGATGCTTTCCGACCAACTCCCACCACCCGCATTGACGGCGCTTCTGACAAAATTCCTACTGGCAATTTTTATCACCCTACTTCTGGCGGCGGCGCATCCTCACATGTTGATGCTTTCCGACCAACTACTCCCGGCAACAGCCCCGGCATCGGTCACCACCGTGTTGCCCCCACCTTGAGTAATAATGATAAAATTAAAGCCGTTGGTCGTCCTAAACCTTGATGTGTGTGTGTGTCATGCATGTATGTATGTATACATCATATATACATACACGGATTATATCATTACGAATAAGCAAGCGCAGCTGTGAGATCTGGCATACCTTATACATGTGTGTTTGAGCTAGCCCGCTTGCATGGAATTGGTTGAGTTGGTTCTGTATGCTAAGCTTCAATTATGTATTCTATTTTCTGCATGTGTGTTTTATGACTATAATTAATAAAATGATTGACTTGTTCTCATAATAAGTCATATATGCCAATAACTAATCTATATATATGTATAAATATGTTTCTTTCGAGATCCGACTTATTTACTCCCTCCGTCCCATTTTAGTTAGCCAAACTTGACTTTTCAAGTCAATGACATCTCACTTTGACCGATTATATATTTATATAGAAAAAATATTGATAATATTAAAATAATTGGTCAATGTTTACCATCTTTGGAAAAGTCAAAGATGGCTAAGTAAATTGGGACAGAGGTAGTATTATTTTCAGTTCTCACTTGTCCGTAATTTTGAATATTTTTTGAAATTTTTAAAGTACCCGCCCACCTGTTTCGAAATTTTTCAAAATTTTTTCAAAATCTTTTGTCACGGATATGTCCGTGACAAAATTAAAAATTTGAATTTTTCAGATCGTTTCAAATACCCGCCCACTCTATTTCGAAAACCTTTTTTTTAAATTTGTCACGGATATTTCCGTGACAAATAATTATTTTTTTTTGAAAAAATAAAAAAATTTATTCTCGGATGTGGCCGTGACAAATAAAAGGCGATGGAGTTCCGGTGAAGTGTTTTGTCACGGACGGTGGCCGTGATAAATCCGTGACAAACGGTCTCACGGATTAATTTCCGTGACAAAAACGTTATCACGCCCCTGGTGTTACGGATTTTTTCCATGACAAATCCGTGACAAAAAATCATTTGTCACGGATTTTTTGAACTACCGTCCGTGACAAAATCCGTGACAAAGAGCGAGTTTTTTTGTAGTGAGTTTTTCTGCACTTTAATATATTTGGAGTTATGGACGATACCAGTATAAACTGCACTTTATACAAATTTTATGCGTTCCTTGTTTTGGTACGTAATTCAATCAACCACGCGTATGGTTTAGATGGAAGCGCTAAAACTGAATTATATGGACAAGAAGCTAATTAATTTGGACGACCCTTTCTTAAAGTTTAGCTTAGTATGGTAAGCTACATTCATCCATCTAAGATTGGTATAAAATAAAAGTGGTGATATAATTACTAAATATTACTCCCTCCGTCACAAATTGTTTTGCAAAGTAACATTTTTTGGTCAACCAATAATTAAAGTCAATCATCCATATTGATAATAATTAATTTTATTTTTAATAATTAAAATTTACATATTCATAAACTACATTAAAATCTCTTCAAAGTTGTAAACTCCAAATTAGAATATAATTACTCAATGCAGCGGACGGAGTAAATTGTTTGACTAAGAAAAGTCAACTTTGCAAATCAATTTGGGTCCGAGGTAGTAACAATTAGTTGTGATCAATGTTGAATCAATGAAATGTGAATAAAGTACTCGGTAGAAGTAAAAATACTCGAATTGAGGGACTACTATTCTACTATTATTCTCTGTTGTTTGTCAAATCTTACTGTTCATAGGCGACGGGTTTTGAGAATGGTTCAAGCTGCCTGGTTGTCTGCTATCTAAATAAGGGTATTAGAGTCAATATGGTTCCACTTTTATCCTACGCGAACTACTAATCTTATTTTTGGAATTTGGGGGACTTTTGGTCTTATTTGTAAAATTTTCCCAAAATAGTCACATAACTTACAAGTGCCTAATATAAGTGCCTTAATTGAATGACTTTATGTAGTGTATATACATATACACATAATATACCAATTCTCTACATTTCAAAAAGATTTGTCAAATTGACTTTTCTTCGTCAATGATAGTAAACTTTAACGATAGACATTTTTTAATAAAAAATTACTTTGAATGTGAAAGTTAAATTCAAATGTTCCTGATTAAAATATTTCCATAAAAGTTCTGCCAATATAAAAAAACCTAGGTAGTACGGAGTATAAAAAATCATCATAATTATCACAAAATAATATATAGAAATTTAAGACTAGTAATTTTTATCATCCTCATGAATCACAAGATTAAAAACATAAGAATGTGGGAATGATTTTTCGTAATTATATAATTCGTACTAATATATCTATAGCAGTCGTTAATATCATGTATAATCTAAACTTAATCATCTGACTTGAATTGTTAATAATTGTACGTAGTGATAATCGATGCTAACTTATAATTTACTGCAAATTTTTTTATGTCAACTTTACCCTCCGGTTATTCAAATTCTTTCTTGTTCATACGGTCATACTTCATACTAAATCCTTTATTTTTATAGTAATTTAACATTTTTCAATCGCAGATTCAATTATGTTGTCAAACTAGTCTGATCTATTTCATGCAGTTTCACCAACTTAAGTATGTAGTTCCTAGCAATATGCTCTCAAACATTTTGTTATAAATTCATTTCAATGTGTAATTTGTGAAACAGACTTGTCATGAGTTGACTAGCTAGTTATTTAATAGCCTATGCTTTATAAAATAAAAACTAATCGTTGAACAAGTCATGGGCGGAAATGTGGACAAGGAGAGAGTAGGATTTGCTGGACTTCTTTCACAAGTAGAGAGCGAGCAGGAGTTGGTGAGGAAGGGTAAAGACGATATTTCAATTCTTTTGTCCAACAAAAAGTTCTATAGGAAATAAATCCTAAGCTAGTTTTAGAATATTAAGACTTAATGGTATGTCTTATGTATAATGATTTCCATTTATAGAAATCTTTTCATCAATGATGACCAGCCCAATCACTTTTGGAAGTTGATTTTGTTCATGTTTGATCACACACATTCCACTTGTCCGAACTTTCAACACAAACACATCATTATTGATTATTCCAATGTCACATCTCTAAAGTTAGCTTTTGTGGTGATGAAATGCACGATAGGTGTTGTAAAACTATTACTCTGTATTTCCTTTGTCTTACCATTCTTTTCCAATTTTTCTTTATTTGTCTAGTCCAAAGTAATCTCATTTTTCATTTCTCTGATAAAGAATTCGTGATTCACAGTACTTCGTACAATTCTCTTTGTAAAGAATAGGTGTCACAGAACTCTCCATCATACAATTCTCACTTTATTAATTCATGTAAAATAATAAATTGAAAGATTATATTGGGGCGGAGGGAGTATCATGTTAATATTATTAATTAGCATAAATTATTAATCGAACTCTCTCCTATTTAAATATTTACAACAACGATCTTGTTTAATAAGCATTCTTTAAAAATACTTGACTAGTTTGACTATTAAGAAATTATCTTTCATACCATTTCATCACACTCTATTGTTTTTTAACTTTTTCTTCATTATTTATTATTCCTACTATTTTATCATGAAACATAAAAAAAATCATGAAACACCGTGAAGAATCAATCATCTTGCATCATAAAGAGTTTATCACATTGGTACCTACAACTTAAATCGTATCATATTTATATAATAAAATCAAACAAATTTAAATTAAAATAACTTTAAATTATATTAACAATCACCAGATGAGAATAATACTATGTACTCGTAGTACATACCACAGAAATAAGTATTTAATACCCCGTGCATTCAACGACACCAAATTAGCGCACAGTGAAATATGAATAATAGTTTTTTCAGGAGAAAATAATTTAAATATCCCAAATTTTGAAGGGATATTATATAAGTACCTCAAACTTTTACATGTAATATATATACCCGAACTTTGTATACAAAGTTAGGTTAGCACCACGATCATATATTTTACTACAGATGTAATTTTATGGTGTTAAGTACATATTTTAAAATATACAAAACATTAATGAGGATGCAATTAAAATTAAATTGTACCGGATGTAATATAATTTATTTCACAAATGAAATTTTAGAATGTTAAATTGTTAACTTTATTCTAGCAAAGCTTAGAGTATTTCAAGTTATACAATTATTCCAATAAATTTGTATTTGTAACAACAACATACAATCATGGTGAGAAATTAACTTTTCATATAAATTTCGGGGTATATATTACATATGTAAATTTGAGATACTTATCTCACACCCCATTATAGTTTGGGGTATTTAAATTAATCCCCCCAATAAAAAACAACCTTTGTGTCCACATATTGACTCAAATGCTATTTTTATGTTAGATTGCCCCCAAGATCTTCTTAGGTTATTATTTATTTGCGTCGACGGAAGTGGACACAGATAAGCTTTTTGGGTCGAGACAATATTGTCAAAACATTAGCGCCCATTTGCCAATATGATGCAAAAGAAATATTTACGTAAAAGTTTCTTGGATGCAAGAAAAAAACAATTTCTTATAGTGATCATTGACGTAGTTTTGGCGTGTGTTTTGGGGGGGAAATCACCACAATATAATAGTTATACAACTATATGTTCCAAATTTAAGAAAACAAATTTAAATTCATTAGAAATAAAAAATGTTGACTATATCTGGAATGATGCAATCTACATAGTTTAAAAATATGAAAATAGGGGATTATATTCTAGCAAATTGTTTGAATATATTACCTAAATTTTAATGATTTTTTCTAAAAAATTTGCATCAAATCAATGATTTTATTTATACATATAATAAATATTTTAATGCTATAATCATATGTAGCTTCACCCATCAATTAATGAGTAAACGTTCTCAGTATACCACTCGTCTTAACTATTAAATACGTAATTTTTTCTTGACTATGATAAATTATGTACGTAATAATCAAAATAAGTAAAGTTATAATTACTTTTTTGACTTAAATAACTAAAATTACCGTAGAGGAGTTATTTTTCCATAAAAATTTTAAATTTATTTTATTAATAACAAATATTCTAAATATAGTTTTTCTATAATTTATCAAATTCAACTACTCCATCCAGCATTCAGGTGTGGATGGACTAAGAGAGTAGGGGGGAGGGGGCTGCGGCCCCCAATAAAACTTATTAAAACTGCATATATGATTGCTCTGATCCCTATAAGTCTATAACCAAACCGCCTAGTCCAAAGTTGGTAAATTGGAAAAGAATTCACCACTAACTGATTTGACTATGAGTGCATTTAAATGTTTGATTAATTTGATGTCGGTGCTCAATGCTCTTGGCTACTACACACCTAGTCAATCAAGTATGATGTACCCTAAAATTAAAGAATTGCACCATTTTCCTTTTTTGGTAAAGATTTTGTGTTTAATTCCTACGTATACTTATACATTTTTCTCTATGTTCTGAATAATTTTTCACCACATAATATACACTATCTTAATCCTCGTGTCATTTGTACTATGAAAGAAACATTAGGAACGGAGGGAGCTAGTATTAATTTATTGTAATGGAATTTAGAACTCGTTTAGTAAAATTGAAATTGGTTGAATCAGTTGAGGCCCCGTTTGATGACTCTGTCTTTTGGTTTATCGGGCTTTTCAGTCAAACTTTTCAGTAACACGTAACTTTTGATTTCGTGCACTGAATTGTGTACTAATAAGAAAAAGTAAGATTGTAGTTATTTTTCTGGCTCAATTGGTTGAAGTTAATGTAGATCACCATTATTTTAGCTATTTTTCATATAATTTTTTCTTTATTTTATTAATAAAATACTTCCTCCGTCTCTTATAACTTTGTCATCTTTCCCTTTTTGGATGTTACAAAAACTTTGCCAATTTCGCTTTTAATCAATAATTTTTGGTTCATGTTATTTCTCTCTCCTCTGCACATATCTCAATCACACAGTTTTACTTTATTATTTTCCGTGCCGGTCAAACATGGCAAAATGTTGAGGGACGGAGGGAGTATATTTTAAATATGATTTTTCATAAATCATCCGAAAAAGCTAATTCAGCTAGAACTTCATAAATTTCAGCAGAATCAGCTGATTTTGGTACTACCAAACAACCTCTGAATCAGCTGAAAGTGCTCAAATTCCGACTGAAGTGACTGAAGTACTGAATTGTGAAAGAATTATATATAAAACATATTTAAATTGATAATACTAAAAAAATTATAAAAAATAGCTAAAATGATCATCTATAATTAGTTGAGTCAATCAGCTAGAAAAGCAACTTCAACTATACTTATTTTGATATTACACCATTCAGCGTGCGAAATCAAAAGTTACGTATTTATTGGAAAAATTTGCAGATAAGACAGATAAGTTGAAAAAAGTAATTTTCAAATGCGCGTAATGCGAGTATTAATGAAATAATGAACTCGTGTCATGTTATTGTAATCCAAAGTTTCAGGCATCATAAAAACTATCGCTGCCCTTAGTCGACGGGATCCAACCTTACTTTTGCTTATTACTACCCAATTAGGCCCGCGAAATCAAAATTTACGTGTTTGGTGAAAAAGTTGGCTAATAAGCCTGATAAGCCGAAAAACAGTGGCTCCAAACAAGCTCTAAATTTCTAAAAAAGTAAAAAGAATTGGGTTGTCATGAAGTAAGAATAGAAAAAAGACCATTGTCTACAACGTTATTCCTAGACACTGTTTACCATAAATATAATAAATAAATAAATAAATAATACAGAGTAGGGGAGAGTTCTTGCGGGAACCCCTCTTAGAATGAGAACTCTTTTTAAAATAAGAACTTCTAATCTTCATCATTCATTTTTACAATCAATGACTAATAATGATAAGGTGACATTTTTGTAATTATTCAGGATTAATTGCAAAAAAGACCCATTTGAATTTAGGGTAATTATGAATGTGACATCATGTGAATCTTAACCAATGATTGCAATAAATGAAAGGTAGAGATTAAAAGTTCTCATTTTAAAAAGTTCTTATTTTAGGAGGAGTTCTCACTAGAACACTCTCCTATAGAGTATAAATTATTCTAATAAAAATGTGAGTATGATAGCTGGAATAAAAATGTTAGTAAGCCATTAGGTTTACTAAATAAATAAAAATGGGGAGGGAGTGACGTGCACTCGTCGTTAGGTGTACTCAAAATAAATAATCAATACAACACTAATACGTAGTATAGTGTAGTATGGTTCGTATCCACAGGGAAAGGAATACTTTTCTTTTATATAAATAATAATAACAAGGGGGGTTTAGATTTGTTTGGTTTAATAACACTAAGATAAACGACCTATATGAGTTTAATTCAATGAGATGGGGACTTGGTTTTGCTTTTATCCACTTAATGAAATGTTTGTCGATCCCGGTTATATCTTTAACTATCTTCCTCTCGAATACTCAATCGAGGAGTATATCCAGTTCATCGAGGGTAGTTATTAATAACGAGATGCGTTCATTAATAAAACTTACTATCGAGTCAATATAGAACAAGCGCCGTATATTAACTTGATAGTAGCAATAAACTTAAGATGAAAACGATTGAGATTGATAACCTCAACACAAGCGGTTTATTGGTTTAATCAATATAATTAATTCCCCTTGGCATATTAACCATGAGAGGCATGCATTAATATTCCAAGTTTACTACCGTTGAAAGAACCGGATTAATAACAAGCGTATTAACCGATTGATTCTAGTAATAATTAATATGAGAAACAATACTAATTAATACGAGTATTAATGAAATAATGAACTCGTGTCATGTTATTGTAATCCAAAGTTTCAGGCATCATAAAAACTATCGCTGCCCTTAGTCGACGGGATCCAACCTTACTTTTGCTTATTACTACCCAATTAGGCCCGCGAAATCAAAATTTACGTGTTTGGTGAAAAAGTTGGCTAATAAGCCTGATAAGCCGAAAAACAGTGGCTCCAAACAAGCTCTAAATTTCTAAAAAAGTAAAAAGAATTGGGTTGTCATGAAGTAAGAATAGAAAAAAGACCATTGTCTACAACGTTATTCCTAGACACTGTTTACCATAAATATAATAAATAAATAAATAAATAATACAGAGTAGGAGAGAGTTCTTGCGGGAACCCCTCTTAGAATGAGAACTCTTTTTAAAATAAGAACTTCTAATCTTCATCATTCATTTTTACAATCAATGACTAATAATGATAAGGTGACATTTTTGTAATTATTCAGGATTAATTGCAAAAAAGACCCATTTGAATTTAGGGTAATTATGAATGTGACATCATGTGAATCTTAACCAATGATTGCAATAAATGAAAGGTAGAGATTAAAAGTTCTCATTTTAAAAAGTTCTTATTTTAGGAGGAGTTCTCACTAGAACACTCTCCTATAGAGTATAAATTATTCTAATTAAAATGTGAGTATGATAGCTGGAATAAAAATGTTAGTAAGCCATTAGGTTTACTAAATAAATAAAAATGGGGAGGGAGCTTTTTTTGTTTTCTGCTTCAATACTAATTTCCTTAAATGTAACGTACTGTTCATTATATTACCTTCATAATATATAGATTAATCTTAATTTTATTTTCTTACCCGGCCCGTTAAACATTTTACCCGGCCTGCCAAAAGAAATATAATGCCTCCTTGCCTATATATAGTGTCCTGAAACATTCTATAAATAGCACACCATTGAGAGCCATTATTCCACAAGATAATTACTTAAGCACACCAAAACTAACTAGCTCAATGGCTGGAGTTAGTAAGCTAATGCTCAGCCTTCTCATTTTGGCATTTCTTCTTTCGTCTGCCGTTCAACCCACGGATGCTTTCCGACCAACTCCCACCACCCGCATTGACGGCGCTTCTGACAAAATTCCTACTGGCAATTTTTATCACCCTACTTCTGGCGGCGGCGCATCCTCACATGTTGATGCTTTCCGACCAACTACTCCCGGCAACAGCCCCGGCATCGGTCACCACCGTGTTGCCCCCACCTTGAGTAATAATGATAAAATTAAAGCCGTTGGTCGTCCTAAACCTTGATGTGTGTGTGTGTGTGTCATGCATGTATGTATGTATACATCATATATACATACACGGATTATATCATTACGAATAAGCAAGCGCAGCTGTGAGATCTTGCATACCTTATACATGTGTGTTTGAGCTAGCCCGCTTGCATGGAATTGGTTGAGTTGGTTCTGTATGCTAAGCTTCAATTATATATTCTATTTTCTGCATGTGTGTTTTATGACTATAATTAATAAAATGATTGACTTGTTCTCATAATAAGTCATATATGCCAATAACTAATCTATATATATGTATAAATATGTTTCTTTCGAGATCCGACTTATTTACTCCCTCCGTCCCATTTTAGTTAGCCAAACTTGACTTTTCAAGTCAATGACATCTCACTTTGACCGATTATATATTTATATAGAGAAAATATTGATAATATTAAAATAATTGGTCAATGGTTACCATCTTTGGAAAAGTCAAAGATGGCTAAGTAAATTGGGACAGAGGTAGTATTATTTTCAGTTCTCACTTGTCCGTAATTTTGAATATTTTTTGAAATTTTTAAAGTACCCGCCCACCTGTTTCGAAATTTTTCAAAAATTTTTCAAAATCTTTTGTCACGGATATGTCCGTGACAAAATTAAAAATTTGAATTTTTCAGATCGTTTCAAATACCCGCCCACTCTATTTCGAAAACCTTTTTTTTTAATTTGTCACGGATATTTCCGTGAACAATAATTTTTTTTTTTTGAAAAAATAAAAAAATTTATTCTCGGATGTGGCCGTGACAAATAAAAGGCGATGGAGTTCCGGTGAAGTGTTTTGTCACGGACGGTGGCCGTGATAAATCCGTGACAAACGGTCTCACGGATTAATTTCCGTGACAAAAACGTTATCACGCCCCTGGTGTTACAGATTTTTTCCATGACAAATCCGTGACAAAAAATCATTTGTCACGGATTTTTTGAACTACCGTCCGTGACAAAATCCGTGACAAAGAGCGAGTTTTTTTGTAGTGAGTTTTTCTGCACTTCAATATATTTGGAGTTATGGACGATACCAGTATAAACTGCACTTTATACAAATTTTATGCGTTCCTTGTTTTGGTACGTAATTCAATCAACCACGCGTATGGTTTAGATGGAAGCGCTAAAACTGAATTATATGGACAAGAAGCTAATTAATTTGGACGACCCTTTCTTAAAGTTTAGCTTAGTATGGTAAGCTACATTCATCCATCTAAGATTGGTATAAAATAAAAGTGGTGATATAATTACTAAATATTACTCCCTCCGTCACAAATTGTTTTGCAAAGTAACATTTTTTAGTCAACCAATAATTAAATTCAATCATCCATATTGATAATAATTAATTTTATTTTTAATAATTAAAATTTACATATTCATAAACTACATTAAAATCTCTTCAAAGTTGTAAACTCCAAATTAGAATATAATTACTCAATGCAGCGGACGGAGTAAATTGTTTGACTAAGAAAAGTCAACTTTGCAAATCAATTTGGGTCTGAGGTAGTAACAATTAGTTGTGATCAATGTTGAATCAATGAAATGTGAATAAAGTACTCGGTAGAAGTAAAAATACTCGAATTGAGGGACTACTATTCTACTATTATTCTTCTCTATTGTCAGCCCATATACTCCAGTGCATTATACTCCATATGTGGGTTCAGTTAATTTTGACATCCCTTTTCTTTCTCTATTGTCTTTAATTTTTTGTCACCACTTGTTTAAAAGGGAGAAAAGTGATGAGAAACACTCTTGCTTCCCGGACACTAATTCTATAGGTGAGAAACATGGTGAAAATAGTCACCCTTTCATTGACTTTTGATTAAAATAAGATTCAATTAGATTAATTACTTCCGTAAGCCTAAATTAGTCCTACTTTAAGAAACTTAATATCTAGTTGCCTAAAATACCCCTTAGTTCATATCCTTTTAACTTTTATTTATTCAGGTAACGACCTAACCGCATTAGGAAACTCAGCTCCTTCCTCAAGCTTCCTCAGGACTTCTACCGTCTACGTTTCTTCACAAATTCGAAATCGATTTCCATCAATTGCGAGTCATGATCTTCATTCGGTTTTGATTTCTCGTTATCTGAAAAATTTGGAGCCAGTTTCATCGCAAAGAATTTCTGCTGCTAAATAGCTTTCCTGGTGCGAAATTCTTCTGTAAGTTTGTATGATGTTTCGAATTTTCATTCTGATTATATATTGAACTTGGAGATTGATTTTACGTGACTTGCTCTGTTATTGAGCTATTATCAGAACTTATTGTCTATTTTTTATGATTACTTACTGTCTATGTATTCTCTGTTATTGAACTATTATTAGAACTTATTGTCTGTTTACTGACTACTTAATGTCTATGTATTGTCTAGTGTTTGCAAATTTGATTTTGGATCTGGTTTATTCAAAAGTTTTACATAGTACCTGATGGCCTTGTGAAAATATGAAATAGAAGTTCGAAATTGACAAAATCAATGTCAAGAATCAGAAAACAAGAAGAAGAAGAAGAAGAAGAAGAAGAAGAAGAGGAGGAGGAGGAGGATGAGGAGGAGGGGGAGGAGGAGGAGGAGGAGGAAGAAGACACCTCTGCCAATCTGGTGCGTCGGCGACGAAGTCGACAGGCGGCGGTGGTGATGGCCTAGTCGATCGATCTGAATCGTGCAGATGAGAAGGGCGACGATGAAGTTTGTCTATAGGGCGATTTCGTGGCGTTCTGTAATTTTTCCAATGAACCCGTCGACGGTTACGAAATAGTTCTAGTGTGGGGTCCAGGGAATTACGAAATAGTAAAGTGCACAAGGATTTAACGAGGAAAAATTCCTTGGCTCAAAGGGATTTAAAAACCTCGACCTCCCTCGGAGGAATTTGAACAACTCCACTAAAAAGCCTTTGAATGATTACAAGGGAAACTCTCCTAGTCTACCCTTGAGCCACCCCAACTCTATCCTCTCTAGGAAGAGTTATGCATCTCTACCTTGCGGGTAGAGAGCCTATCAGCTTTACAACAAAGCTCTCACAACACACTAACCAACCCGAGGATGCTACACTTAGCCAATCCTCAAAAACCCAATTACAATATGAAGAAGGGAAAAAGAAACTCTGTCTGGAACTCCGTGAGCAGGTTCAGGTGCCTTGGACTTAGTGAATATTCTCGTGTATATTTCTCAATAGAAGCTCGGTCAAGCACACGTCTTTCGTCTGGTCTTCAGTCCAATATATATAGCATCCGTAGCCTCTCCTTTCCTTTTTTTTCAAAAGATCTTCCGGCTCTCAATTATGGTGATCCTCGGTCAACCATATATATGGAAGTATATTATGAGGAATTCACTCAATAACAAACAGATATGGAGAATATTACGTATCACATATAAGGAGAATATTTTATTCTCCTAATATAGGCAGCCAACGAACATTATGTAGCAACAACATATTTATATAATCAATGATTAGTCCTTTTTAACAAGTTTGAATATGTAACGATCATATAAGTAAGATATTCAAATAAGATGCTACAGATCATGCAACCCAAGATACTTTCCAAAATTTATGACTTTTTAACATTAAGTGATGAGGAAATATTTACTCAGTGGATCTAAATATGCTACGGTCAATTTGTGCAGGATATTTACGTAGCATAAATAATGATTCTTTCCATAAGCTATATAGGCCAACTCATAGAGGTGAGTGCTTAGTCGTATACGGAAAGATATATAAATTGTGCCACGTATACTAGGAATATGCATGATCAATCTAGGCATGTAGATGAGGTATTATCATGCAGGTACATATTAATTTATTCATTATGCACAACAATCAGTCATATAGATCAGAACTAAGTATAGTTCCAATTCTCGTTCCTAATGGAACTGAGAGCAGTTCTGTCCGCCATTCCACCTAAATGGTTAGTCATCAACAAAACAACATATTCAACAAATTCCCCCTTTTTGTTGATGACAAACATTAGGTGCCATAATAAAGGTGTCCCTGCGGATTAGTAACAGTCGATGTTTTTATGTAGCAAAATAAGCAGGCACCTGATTATTTCCCCCTTTTGGCATCAACCAAAAGGAAACAGAAAATAATCAAAACAGTGCAAAGTAAAACTCCAAAGTAGGACAGCTTGTTAAGATGTTAAAGTAGCAAGAACCCTCCCCCAGAAAAGAAATGTTTAATCATCCTCAGAAGAATAAATTATCCTGCGATTTGTCGAGCCAGATTCACAGAGCTGCTCTGCCACTTCCTGTTTGAAGGACTGGAAATCATTCCGAATAGCATTGGTTGTATCAGCCAGTGTGTCCACCTTTTTTGCCAATGCAGAGATGGAGTCTGAAAGGGAAGCGAATTGGTGTTGAAGGTAACGTTCCAGGAGATCTATGCGGTCTGTGATTGGGGGTACCACCATCATTGGGTCGATGGAAGGAACTGGAGTTGGTTTTGGTCTGGGTTTTTGTTCTGAAGAAGAGGGATCAGTTGGTTTAGGAAGAAGGTGAGAATTGGATATGATTAGGCCTAGATTGCTGAGACATCTCTTATCCAGGATTTTGTAAGCTTCTTCAGAGGAGAATTTGTCTAGAGTAATGCCCTTAGAGAGAAATATTTTGGTAAGTAGCGGGGCATATTGAATCCCAATCCTTCGGGATGAGGAACTGATGATAGAACTGAGATGGGCCATCATCAATCCAGGAAGGTTGATAGGAACTTTGTTGGCTAAAAGGTACATATATGCCAGTTCAATTCTAGAGGGTGTGAATCGCCCTTCTAGCCTAGGAGTCAAGTTGTGATGAACAAAGTAAAACAGTAGTTTGGGAATTGGGGCAAGGCTCGCAACATGAAGAGAGGATTCGGAAATGGTTGGGTTAAAGTATTCCAGTGCAACTGTTTTAGAGGTGTTGGTTAGGGGCCACTCGGTTTTGTTATATTGGCATACACCAGTACACGGAACACCCAATATTTGACCTAGATCACTCACACTTAATAGAATTTTTG